CCTTCCTTCCTTCTTCCCTCCCTCTCTTAATGCATGTTGCTAGCATGCACCTCCCTGGGAGGAGGTGTTGCTCTTTCGAGGCCTTGTTTGGGGTGGGTGGGTAGGAGGCTCCTCGACCCGGGAGGGACTTGAAGCCCCTTCCCGCCTCCCGATTCCCCTCCCGAGCAACCCTTTTTTGCTTTGCCCCAGCGCTTGCCTCGGGCTGCCGGCCAGGAGGAAGGCTGCCCTCTTGGCAAGGAAGTTACCCTGAGCCCCCCCAGCACCTTCCTAGCCATCCCGCACCTCCGACGCCTCTCGGGAGGAACCTAGGAACGTTCCTGCCTCCTGTCAGGAGGGAAAGAAAGAAAAAAGCCAGAAAGCTCTTAAGGAGGGAAGATGGCATCTTAACAGCTGCTGCCCTGCTGGCCCCCCCCTTGCCCCCCCAACCCCCCCCCCCCCCCCCCCAAAATCTCTGGGGAAGAAAGGGACACCCAAGACATTCTTCAGCCTGTCCCTAAAAAATGGCTTTCGCTCTTCTCATCCCCTGGGGATGAGCCACCCAAGGAGTCTTTGAGAGCAGAGCGATGGGGGCCTGGACATAACCCAGCCTCTTCCCTCTTGGAGACCCCTTGCCCCCAGTCCATTTCCACCCCCATCTCCCACATTTAAGGCCTAGGAGACTCGGGTCCAGGGGCCGTTTGAACCTCCCTTGGAGAAGAGGGCAGGGGCTGAGGGGCACGGTGGGTCTCCTCTCGAGAGTTTGGGATCAGCTCCCGGCAAAGCCAAGTCGGAGGTGGCCTAAGCCAAGCCGGGGCGAGGAAGGTAGGCAGCTCCTCGCCCTGAGCCCTGTCGGTCCTCCCGGCCCTCCTGAAAGAAGTCGCGGGGAAGACTACGGAGAACCCAATCTCGGTCTGTCGTAGCTAAATAGACGGGGAAAGGGCTGCCTTGGAGGTGGAGGCTATGGGAGCGGAAGCCCCCCCACCCTGGAGTCCTTGGAGGGGGGGGGGGGTCTCTCCTGAGATGGGGAAGGGAGGGAGTTCAGGTGACTGCTAGGAGGAGGGGGTTGGGGAGCTTCCTGCAAACCTGGTGGAGGAACCTGGAACCTTTCAAGACTGACCCAAGAAACAGACAAGCCGATCCTGAGTCCACACTACACGATATTGTCATTTGTTTCCCGCCTCCATGTCTGCTTTGGCTCGTGGTACCTTGAGATGTGCTCCCCCCACCCCTTCCTCCCAAATCTTGTGGCTGTCCAGTGCAAATGGCTGTATCTCTTTTGGGGTGGGGGGGCAGTGTGTGTGTGTGTGTGGGGGGTGCCTTCACCTGTGTAGGAAAGCTGCCGGCTCTGTATCCAATCCCAGCTTTTCCCCAATGGGTTCACCCTCCCAACTGTGTGTGGGTTTCACTTCGAACCACCCCCTGCCCACCCACCCAACCCCCCCACAGGCCTCTGCTGAACAGCCCAAGAGTTGCTTCCCAGGCTTTGCAGGACAAACCCTGTGTACACCCCCCACCCACCTACCCCCCACGGTGCCCCCTTTGCTTACTGCCTTTTTTTTGGGGGGGGGGGGGAAACCGGATGGCCCAGAGTCCAGAATTCAAACGCTTTGGACTAAAAGATAGAACCAGTTGGAAAGCCTGCCTGGTTTTTGCTGGGTGGGGTGGGTGTTGGTGAAAAAGGAGGGAGGGAGGAGGCAGGTTGCCAATAATGATCCAAACTGCCCAGCTCTCCCCTCTTCACTTTGGCTGCGTGGCGGATCATGGCCTCAGCCCTCGGGCTGGGAGGAGAGAAAAAAAAGCATTCAGCATTTTTAATGTGTCCGCAAAATGAATTTATTTCAAAGAAACACACTCCCCGTTCCCTTCTCTTCCTCTCCATGTTGCCCCTTGACAGTAACTTAAACCAAATTGGAGGCAGAAGTGCCCCCTCTTCTTCTCCCTCTCCACCCCATTTACCCACCCACCCCTACCCCCCAAAGTCCTTTCCCCATGAGATCCACCTGTCTGGGCTGCAATGTACAATAATTTAACACAGTTGCCTGTAATTTTTATTTTGTAAATTCATTATACTAATAATTATAAATTAACCGCCAGTGGCTTGGCGTGTGTCTGGAGGCTGCTCTGTTCACGGCGGAAGGAGGCGCCGTCCTGCTTTGTGACGATAAGAGAGAGAGAAGCGCCGCCATTTTTTCGGATGCTGGGACTTTAGGCCCTTTTGGCACATCGCGGTAGAGCTCCTACATTTGTCAGGAATTGGGAGGTGGGAGCGGTGTGTGGCAAAAGTGGGTCTAAGGAAACTTTTAGGTTGCACTTTTCAGAATATAAATCTAGTCCGTCTTTTACCAAACCACGATTTTCCCATGTGAAGCGTTGATGCCCATCACAAAAGAGAGAGGGGGGGTGCAGCTGTTGGATTAATTAGGTGATTCCCTAAGGGAGTGATGGCTAACCTTTTTTAGGCTCCCGTGCTGAAAATTGTGTGCGTGTGCCAGCACCCAGAAGGCAATGCGCCCACCTGTGCATGTGCACGCAACACCACCACCACCCCCGCGCCCCCTTACCTGCACTGCTCGTGCACCTGCCTCCCGGCTGATTTTTGGCCCGTTTTTCGGCCTCCAAAGGCTGCAGAGGCTTTCCTTGAGCCCCAGGAGGGCAAAAACGGCCTCCGCAGGACTCCAGAGGCTGAAAACGGGCACTTCCAGTATTTCCAGAAGCCCGTTTTTCGGCCTCCTGAGGCTGCAGAGGCTTCCCTTGAGCCTCAGGGAGGCCGAAAACAGCCTCAAATGGGCCGAATATCAGCTGGGAGGCGCGCAGCCTGTGCAGTGCAGCTAAGTTTGGCTGGGGCTCGCGTGCCCACACAAATGGCTCTGTGTGCCATAGGTTCGCCATCACGGCCCTAAGGATTTTGCAATGCTGTTCCTGGCATTGCAGATCACAGCGGACACAAGATACAAGACTTTAGATTCAAAGACTTGTCTCCCGCTCTGTAGTCGGCTGTCCAGTTGCTGCAGCAGAGTTCACAACTTGCTGCGCACCGGATCAGGGGTCTCCAACCATGGCAACTTTTAAGCCTGGAGGACTTGGCTGGCTGGGGAATTCTGGGAGTTGAAATCCGCCAGGCTTAAAAGTTAGCAAGGTTGAAGACTCCTGCCCTAGATGACACGGCTGTCATTTCTTTCTTGGTTGACCATGGTCAGCTCGGCTGTAGTCCCTTCGAAACTATGTGTGGAAATTAGGCAAATGTTTCTCAGTCTTGGTGACTTTTAAGACGTGGACTTGCAGAATTCCCCACGCATGGCTGGCTGGGGAATTTTGGAAATTAAAAGTGCCCCTTGTCTCAAAATTGAATTAGATCATGTCTTGTCTTATGCGACTCCTGATTGCAAGGTATCAAATAACGGATTTAAGTTTCAGGAAAAAAACCCACCAATGTCAGGGATGGTTGAATTGGGACTTTTACCCCAACTAGGAGATTGGATGTTCAGTGGCTTAAAAGAGCTCTTCCAGCTTCAAAGTGTTGTCCCAGTTATACTAATTGCACTTTTCTTCTTGGTTATTCTGCCCTTATTAAGCAGATAACCATGCCCTGTTGGGTTGGAAGTTTCTTTTGGAAAGGAAGTTTTTAAAAATGTTTTTTTTTTAGTACTTTAAAAAGGTTTTGTGATAGTATGGCTTCAGGTGGGCTGAGTCTGGAACAGTTCAGCAGCGATGTGACAACAGGTATGAAAAAGTAGTTTACTTAGGGCTGGATATATATAGCAAATACAAAGCAGTTTTGTTTGTGTAACCCTCTCCCATTTCCTGGGGGAGGAAAGGCAAATATATCAATAAATACATGTCAAAGCAACTATTTCAGTCATTTAGTTTTTAGATGTGCTTTTTTGAAATGCAGTTATGGATCAATATGGTTAGTGAACCTCCATACTAAGGGAGGATAGTAGGACTGAATTAAATGCTAGAGAATAAAATATCTAGAAAATAAAAGTATAGTAAAGGCTGAAGCTTAAACGATTGGCCCCTAGCAGAGCTCAGTGTATTTGTCAGTATGACGAAGGCGACGTGCACTCACACAAGATTTGCATCTGCAGTCCCAACACTCAAAAAGGGTTGGAATTTAGGGTGCTGGTTTTCATTCTTTGAAGACCCCTTGAATGCCTCTGGTTGCAGGTTAACAGTTCATTGGCCAAAGGAAATTTGGGGTTCACGCAGCACACGGGCAAAAATTTGGATAGCAACAGCCCCAGAGAATTGGCTACCAGCCCATTACCAGGGCTGGTAGCCAATTTCTAGCCCCAACATGAAGAATGCCATTAACAAGAAGAAACCATCTTCAGGATAGCAGTTGTTCCCCAATGCTAAATTAGGCCAATGAGGTTCGTTTGGGTTTAGGGGTTACCTGTGCACACCATCCCCCCAGGTGTGACTTTGGATCCAAACAGCATTAAATTGCAAGTAGCCTTCGACTTACAGCCACAATTCGGGACATCATTTGCATTTTCTCATTGTGAACTTACGTGAGCCTGATTTTACAGTAATTTTTATGACAGTTAAGTGAATCCAGCTTTCCCCAAATAGCTGTTTTTTGGGGGAGGGTGGGGAGGGTAGGAATTGGCAAAAAAAAAAAAAGGCTCACAAATTACAACCACATGACTGCACAATGCTGTACACCTATTATAAATGCAATCCTTTGCCAAGTGCCAGAATTGTGTGTTCACGTGAACCACAAGGATGGGCAAGCTTGTTATAACTTTGAGCCATCATTAAGGGAGCAGCTGTAAATTTGAGGATTACCTGTAATTTGTCCACTTTTAGGCATTTTTATTTTAAACGGTCCCGTGGTGGAATCTATATAAGCTAGCTAGTTCCGTTCTAGGTCACAAACCCTGGCTGTTTTGCATCCTCTTCAAACTTGAGCCACATTCTTTTCAAAGGTTCAGCATCTCATCAGATTGTTGAGAGAGGAAAATGGCCTGAGATTAGGTTTGGGCATCCAATAAAACTGTGGCATGGCAAGGAGGGGGACCTATTGTGCAAGCCCACCGTGATTTTGGAGAAACTGACTCAATACCATTCCACGGTATGGAAAAAAAAAGCCGTATTTTTCCGTTGCCACTCATTACTCTGGATGCTTTTATTCGGGACTTTGCTTCTGGGGAAGACATTCAGAAACATATTTGTGGAATAGAAATTGTAGAGCCTCTTTATTATAGAGTCCCAACATCCACTTATTTGGGGCAAGCTGTACTTTTTTTCAGGACTTTTACAGCTGTGGCTGTTCAACCTCTCAGGCTTAAGATGGGGGTGGCCAGTTTATGACCTGTGAATTTCAACTCCCAGAATTCCCGAGCCAGATTGCGATTTCCAGTTGATGAGGATGATGGTGCTAGGAGTGTTTCCATGATCGCTGCATTTAAAAACAGCTGCAGTTACCTTCCACGATTCAATAAAGGAAAGGCTGATGGCACCATGGTCTTTGTAATTTACGTTCACCGAGAGCAAGATTTCACGTTAGCCGTGGCATTTCTGTCCATGTGTACACACAATTCCAGACAAAAATTTCAGAAACAAATGTGCTGCTTTGTCTTGAAACTGGCAAATGCAGTCCTCCCCCCCTCCCCCCTTATTCCAAGCTCTTCATTTCAATGCAATTTTTAAACCCAAGCCCAGAATGCAAAGGATGTGCTTTACACACTGGGTCAAAAGACTTTTATTAAGCTGCAGAAAATGCAGGACTTCATAACTTATTCCAGATTTTGGGCTCAAGCCTGTGCCCCACCCACCCCCAAAGTTAAGAATTCGGGGTTTTGCAGACTTTCACGGCAACTCGCAAGGAACCAGTTTGAAATGGGTGCCACACGAAGGGCAGCGCTCCATTTTGTCTTTGTGAAGCCAAACGTAGTACGTCTCCGTGGCATCTTCCTCGCCTAGAAAAAGGCGGAAACGAGATTGTGAGAATGCTACAGAAGGATTAGAAAAATGTACACATTACCCAAGCAAAGGTCACTCTCACTTGCTAGCTTTTATCGCCGTAATCACCCCATAATCCCTTGCGGAGTGGAGTCTCGGCAGCTGAATGGAGCTGAGTGTTTACTGGCCGGATGCCCTTCCTGTTCCCAATGTCGACTTATATTCAGCAGATATATTCTCATTGTACTCAAATATCTGCCTCTACCTAGGAAGCCTCCTGATTCTGAGGCGAGAGCTTCAACTCTGGGCCACCACTCAAGAGTCATTTGCTTTGTGGGCGCCAATAAACAAATAAGCAAAACCTAACTGCTCAAGTTAAAAATAAAAAAAAAGGCGATCCTCTGAACCCTTTGGAATTTTGGTAAGATAATTTATGGGGTGGTAGAAATAAATGAGTGAAACCACAAGCCGAAGGAAGGAAGAAAGGAAGGAAGGCGTTTCGGAGGGATTCCTTCTTGTGACCAGGGCTGTACAAATGCGAAGAGAGAAAGAAGTGTGTTTGGCAGCAGCTACGTAAGCCCTTTGGAAAGAGAAAGACCAAAGAGCCAAAAAACTGCACCATATCTCAGGTGCAAAAGGAAAAGTGCTTCACAGCATAAGGGGCAAACGGTGCAGTCCTTGGCAACTCCCAGATCCAAAGGTGCCTTTCTGTAGGATCGGGCAGCAACGAGGGTCACACGAGGCTGGCATCAGGGGCAACTGCTTTTGAGGCACTGCAGACAAGTGCTCTAGTCAGTGTTTCTTCACCTCAACCATTTTAAAGGTATGTGGACTTCAACTCCCAGGATTCCCCCAGCCAGCATCCTTCTGGGAGTTGAAATCCACCCATCTTAATATGGCTGAGGTTGGGAAAGACTGCTCTGGATGGCCCCGTTTGCTTCAAAGCACCCCTGGTTGCCCTTGGATCTCATGTGCCACCCTGCCCTACCGAGAGAAAAGGGGTTTTAAGATTCCCCCTCAACCCTGGTCCCGAGGATGTGGCCTTCTTGAGAGAAGAGATGCTTTGTTTACACCAGAAATCTGCCTGGAGGGTCCTTTCCAAATGCTTTGCACACCCTGTTTGTAGGTCCCTGGGCTTGCGCTTCCCAAGAAATTCCAGCTGATTGAGATGAGAGCTCCCGTCCTAATACAGGGGTGTCAAACTCAAGGGCCATGGGGATGGAGCTGGCCCGCAGGGCCACCCCGGAAATAGTGAAGGACCGACCCGTGGTTCCTCTTGCCAGTGAAAATGCAGCTCCTCCTGGGCTCCATGTTTGCTTGCAGAGGGCTGCAGGAGGATTCTCCCAAGCCCACCCAGGCTACCACAGGTGCCCCCATCCCCCCAAGGTCAAACACAACCCTGATGTGGCCCTAGTTTGACACCCCTGATCTAAAAGAAAGCTTTTTTTCCCCCGTATCAAGTATAACAGTTCTTTCTCCAACCACAGTTTCAAACACCTTCCCTCAACCCTCTTTCGGGGGCAAACACTATTCAAAAAACTGGTTCTCAATAAAGGAGAATATTTGTAGCTCAGGGTAGAAAGCAAGGGCCCTTGGTACTCTCTGAGCTCAGTG